AAGCGAAGAAAAGACGTAGATACTCTTTGCAAATTTGTTAAGGCTGTGAGGCCGTTGATACAAATTAGAATTACAACACTGAATTGGCTATGAATGCTCATGCTACATCGATCTTCAAAAGCCCAAACTTGCTAAGCACCTGTTCTTCTTCCATAACAAATATGTCAATGTCCCCGCAGATAAAACCAAAAACAGTATTGTTTTTGTGTGGAAATCACATTACATTACTGCTTGATATTAGTAAAGAAATTAGGTAGTGACAATCCACTTAAAAACTTAACATATATCACAACAACAATTATCAAAGTAGATATCAGAATTAGCATATGTCTGTTCTATTATCGTGTGTAATTTCAACCAACTACTAGTATGCAGAACAGCAGTCTGTTTCACAAAAGAACTTACGACTAAGATTAATCGTAAGTCATGAACAATTCAGTATACTTACTACCAATCTTAGTCGTAAGTTTCTTTGTGAAATCGACTCCTGGATCTTCCTTCGCTGTAGTGGATACTTTAATTTCCTTACAAACAACGTTATATTGATGTTTGCCAAGTGATCCACGAAACATCTTTTCAAACTATTAACATCAATTTTATCAGTACATGTATATATTTTCTTTCCTCTTGCAATAGTATAAATTAAGGCGACAGTAGTTTACCGATGTTCTTAATCTAGTAGAGACAAACCAAAATAATAAACAAAAACTGAGGAAATCGCATGAACTACCCCAAAAGGAACAAGACAGGGTGTATCGACAGGGTGAACGTCTCCTCAGTGCCATGCATGCACCACCCTCCATGCAAATCGACATTAAGACAAAACGTCACACCGACACATTATATCGGTCAACTAAATCGTGATGACGACCGTATCTTTCTCATGACAACGTTGGGAGCACATCCCTGTCAACGAAGTCGATCGGTATAGTGTGAAAATGCACGAGCGTAAAACATTAGACTTTTCTACTATCTATGCATGTACTATTGTTTCATAAAAAAAGAATAGCCAACGTAGATTAAAATATTTTTCCAAAATGTTACGAAGTGCATCGCAGTAATAATAACACAAAATTTTTACTTCAGCTTTTTTTTTGTGTGTTTTTTATGATTTCACGCTTATTATGTAACTTGACAGATGATATGATATAAACATAATACATAGGTAATATAAAACTAATCGCATAATGCAGGTTATGCAAATGCGTAATAATAAATGTATCAATTTTGACTATCAGCGCTTATCCAACAATATGTAATGCCCGATAGCAACATATTCATCGATGTAGTAGAATATAAATACTGTCATTAAATTGCTTGTCCTCTTCCCGACATATTCCCAATTTTAGAACTCATTTAATCAAATAAAATCTTAGCCACGCCATTAAGCAGCCAATCATAACTAACTGGTGTTAAGTAATAATTTCAAGATGGCGTGTTATCGACTGATCTAATATTTTCGCACCATAAAGCAATAAAGAGCTGCGCCATGAGCGCATGATACGCCCGTCGCTATTTCAAAGAATAAAGTCCATAACTCCTCAATGTCATATCAGAAATTTATAATAAACTAAAGGGAGGTTATCTCAATAGATATAAAACAGTCACCAAAGTTTCATGAAACTGTTCAAAGCCCTTTTGAGGTATTGTCCGAAAATTGGAAAAATCCCCCCTTTTTTATGAATAAAATCCCATAACTCGGAAACGTAAAATCTAAAATTTATAAAAATCGAAAGAGAGCTCACGTCAATAGATATAAACAATCGAACAAAGTTTCATGCAAATTGGTTAAAGCGTTTTTGAGTTATTATCCGACATGTTGACGACGGAAGGAAAGGACGGACAACGGTATACCATAATACGTCCCGTAAACAGGCGTATAAAAACTGACATTATCAAGATGCTTGATTTCTTGATTTGTTCCTTTATTAATCTGAGGCAGACTTTATATAGGAGCTTCTTAGAAATAACAAGAAGAAGCTAGCATTACCCTTTAACTTCACGTTCCGCTATATAGATGATGTCTTCTCACTCAACAATTCATAGTTTAGTTACCATGTTGAACGCATCTATCCCACCAGGAACATATATATTGACGGGACTTGACACTACCTGATTGTAGTCGATTTTATCGTCGTGCCATAGTTAATAAAGATACGATACAGAAACGGACATGTGTTAAAAACGGACTCGCTATTATCCTAATAATATCTGATATTATCAATAAAATGTCATTCAAACTAGTTTTATAGTGATGCTAGTGTATCAAACTTGTATTCTGTCACTTCAAATTTGTTAAAATCGCAAGCATTTCATCACAGAATTGTGCAGAATGCAAACAAGGTAATAAAAAAATGGCGGCCATTGCCGCGATGATTTACAAATTCCCAAACTATTATAAAACACTTCACATCAAATAAATCAAACTTATTTTGGTAATTTTATATGACAAAATATATCTACTAAATGATAAAACTTGTATTTATTTACAATTAGAGTTATGTGGTTTATTTGTTGAGCAGTTCTGATAGTTTTTTCAGTCAGACGCTACCAAAATCCGTAAATCTCGGGAAGTCTCGGGGAGTCCTTACCTTACCGCTGAATCTTTCTCCGTCCTTGAGGACAACCTCTTAGTAGAGTGCATTAGTACATACGACCCTCCACCATCCAGAATATCATACAAATATATATATACAGTTTATATACAGGTCCGCAATTGTTTGTTTAATTGCTGTCACTAGTTCTGTTGAATCAGTTAATACTCAATCAGTATACACTTATTTTGAGTGTTTCTTCTGCATACTTATGGTTCTAGCTCTTATACTATGCAGTGCATAGCACAACTTTCTGGAAATTAGTTCACATAGTTGTTCTGTTTTTCTATCCAATAATAAATCTGGTTTCTGATGTCTAAGTTTAGTACAGTCCATAATTAATTGTGTCTGAGTATTTGCAGACAATTTGTAAAAGGAAATGGACGCATCTTTAAGTATATTATCTTCAATTTGATATGACGACAGACATATTAATAAGTTGAAAAGGGGATCGATATAAAAGACAACTATCAAGATCCCAGATGAGACTGGGAGTAAGGAATCGTGCTATCTATGGAGTACTAGTCGTTACACAAGACTACTGCCGGCTATGAAGTATCGGTGGAATCGATGAACTCTACAGAAGACTCTACATAGGCGGATTTAGAGGGTTTTTCAGGGGGCCCGGGCCCCTCCTTTTTTGGGAAAAATTTGGTTGATTATATAGGGAATCACTGAAGCATGACTGGAGCGGGCCCCCTCTTAGGCAGTCAGTGGGCCCCCACTTATGAAAAATTCTGGAACCGCCACTGCTCTACTTGCTATGAAGTATCAATGGAAAAATGAAATCTACAAAAGACTTCTGCTGGCTATGACTTATCAGTGGACAAGATGAACTTTACATAAGACTTCTGCTCGCTATGAAGTATCAGTGGATAAGATGAACTCTACATGAAGACTACTGCTGGCTATGAAGTAACAATGGACAAGATTAACTCTACATAAGACTACTACTGGCTTTGAAGTAAGTTAACAGTGGACAAGATGAACTCTTAATAAGACTACTGCTGGCTATGAAGTATCCGTGGATAAAACGATATCTACATGAAGACTACTGCTGGTTATGAAGTAACAGTGGACAAGATGAACTCTACATAAGACTACCACTGGCTATGAAGTATCAGGGTACGAGATGAACTCTTCATAAGACTACTGCTGGCTTTGATTGAATGATTGATTGATTGATTGGTGTTTAACGCCACTTTCAACACTATTGTGCTATTTCGTGGCGGTCAGTTTTTTTGTTGGAGGAAGCCGGAACGCCCGGAGAGAACCACTGACCTTGGGTAGGAAATGCTGGCTTTGAAGTATCAGGGACAATATGAACTCCACATAAGACTACCGTTGGCTATGAACTATCAGGGTACGAGATGAACTCTACATAAGACTACTGCTGGCTTTGAAGTATGAGGGGACAAGATGAGCTCTACATAAGACTACCGCTGGCTGTGAAGTATCAGGGTACGAGATGAATTCTAAATAAGACAACTGCTGGCTTTGAAGTATCAGGGACAAGATGATCTCTACATAAGACTACTGCTGGCTATGAAGTATCAGGGTACGAGATGATCTCTACATAAGACTACTACTGGCTATGAAGTATTAGTTGAGATGAACTCTACATAAGACTACCGCTGGCTATGAAATATTAGTTGAGATGAACTCTACATAAGACTACTGCTGGCTATGAAATATTAGTTGAGATGAACTCTACATAAGACTACCGCTGGCTATGAAATATTAGTTGAGATGAACTCTACATAAGACTACCGCTGACTAAAAAGTATTAATTGAGATGAACTCTACATAAGACTACCGCTGGCTATGAAGTTTCAGAGGACAGATGAACTCTACATAAGACTACCGCTGGCTATGAAGTATTAGTTGAGATGACATCTAGTCTCTACATAAGACTAAGGCTGGCTATGAAGTATTAGTTGAGATGAACTCTACATAAGACTACCGCTGGCTATGAAGTTTTAGTTGAGATGAACTCTACATAAGACTACCGCTGGCTAAAAAGTATTAATTGAGATGAACTCTACATAAGACTATCGCTGGCTATGAAGTTTCAGAGGACAGATGAACTCTCATAAGACTATTGTTGTCTATGAAGTATCAGTGGACAAGACGAACTCTACATAAGGCTTCTACTGGCTATGAAGTATCAGTGGACAAGATGAACTCTACTTTAGACTACTGCTGGTTATGAAGTATCAGTGAACAAGATGAGAAGGTCATGATAAATGTCTATGGTTCATTGGAATGATTTGAAAGACCAACAATAAGATAATTCAGTAAATGCATTCAACAGATGAACAGGCTCATTTTTGGAGATATATAATGATTCTCCAGGTCATTACAAGATCATGATCAGCATCAAATATTACAACTAAAGTTAGGGAAGTCTTTCTTGGATTTTTTATTTATGAAGAATATACATTAAACAATTGTCTAGTAAAAAATAAAGTATAACAGATGTGTGTTGTTCTTTTCATAATGCAGATAAAACAATAGAAACTACTAAAACTATATTCTGTTTACTATGTCCAAGTTCTTTATGAAACAGTGATCAAATTTGGAATAAATGTAATATATTATAAGTAAAGCCTAGAAAAAATTGGTTAGCAAAACTAATGTAGATATCCAGGATATCTTTTTGAATAGATTTCTTGATTTAGCAATAAACATAATTACAACTATTATAATGTCCATTATGTTCATTGCTAAATCAAGAAATCTATTCAAAAAGATATCCTGGATATCTACATTAGTTTTGTTAACCATTTTTTCTAGGCTTTACGTATAATGCGTAACACTATATGCCCATGTAGCTTATTTGTGAGACATAAAAAAACTTCAACAAATTACCTCTTCACTATCTTTCTATGTATTATGGGACACACATTAATACTGTATATGAATAAATAGATCTACTGTAAAAACAAAACCTTATTATGATAAATAATTTACATAGCAAAACAAAAATCCTAACAATTGTCATCAAATACAGAATAACAAAAACAAATAAAAATTGAAGGTTATGATTGTCATGAAGATTATAACATTAGAAACCGTATGCACTTTCAAAAATTGTAATGTGCACCCTTATATAAGAGTTTTAACACTACTGACCAAAAGGTGGTGGTTTAGGCAGAACACTGTGGTCATAATTCATCAATAAAACTGATCACCATGACATGACATTGTGATAAATGTATAGGAAATGGGCATAGGACATTTGAGCGTAAATAAAAAATGCACATAGGGTCATTTGAGCGCCGACATCATAAGACATTTTAGCACCGGAATATTAGCCTTACCTGGATTTTCACATAGTAAGTTCAAGCAAAATTTGCTGTGATACTTTTATAAGAATTAAGAAAATATTTTTAAAAATTAAGAAAAAAAAGTATAAGTTTTTAAAATAAATATATTTTATTTGATTTTACATCCAAGTAATAAGACCGGTTCTGGCTAGTAAATGGTAGTGTAGTGTACCAAGGAAAGTTGAGTGTACCTAATGACAAGCCTTGTATAGACATGCCGATTACCTGACTAATACTTACATCACAGACGAATCGTTGTTTCCCCCTTATCTCTGTGCCACGGTTCCAAATATGACAAAAAATGTACAAACAATGGACCTGATTTTCATGCCGATTATAATGAGCAATTTCATCATAGTCAACCATCAATTTCCTTGACACCAATCTCAAATTACAATCTGTTACTTAAGTCAAAATTCAGAGTTTGAATATTGATGCACCTCAGGGCCGAACAGACAAGGAGAAGGAGCTGAATCTCCTGGATTTGCATTCGGTGTACTGACAGCCGAAATAACGAGGGATATAAATTTCAAGCCCGAACTGACTTGTAAATAATGCCATTGCTGAGTTTTATGTTTTATGACAGTGCTTTGTTTTTTAACAATTAAAAGATGTTTTATACTTTGTGCGTTATAAACTCCACATTTCATTAACTATATCCTCCTCGAAATCCTACTTCCACCTTTCTGGCGATAGGTACTCCTTTATCATTCTTATTTATTTTTTTTTTGGCTCAAAAGTCTAATTTTTATTTTTCATTTTCGTTCAAATATTCTAAAATTTCGGCGCTCAAAAGTCCTATACTTTGGCGCTTAAACATCCTTTTTTTATCACTCAAATGTCCATTGTCGTAGGAAAAGACATCAAACCAAAAACAGATGCTGATGTCTGTGTTTAGAAATTTGAGTACAGCAATATTGATACTAAATTGTTGAGATGCTAATTATCTTTTTATCTGCTAAAAAACAAGATAATATGAAGATCCATTTAATACTATAATGTAAACCAAATAATTAAAAAATAATGTTTGGCAAGTTTTTTCCAAGAAAATGTACTTGACCTTAAATAGAATATATCTAATAAATAGCATTCTAGACAGACTCATTGTTGAGTTGTATCTATGAGTATACATAGTTTTAATCAAATTTTGTTAAATATTAACGAAAATATCCCTATTTCATATATAATATTTCATGCTTACTATTTTAATTTTCAGTCAGCAAATTTTCCACTTGACTGTCTGAACATCCAACAATAACTAAATATACTCATGCTAAAGTGCATCAATCTCCCTCTTTTAAAACCATATGAACTGGTCCCATTAAAATTGATCAAGTTAATGAGCTAAAATGTAAACCCAATTTTGCCTTCTTTCTGAGTGTTCCTTTTAATAATCATTTTAGTCTTAAATTAACCCTACTACTCTCTAAAAGCTTATTCAATTTCTAAGACATTCAACAACACTAATCTCTCTGGTTACTAGGACTAAGCAATCAGTATGCATGTATTACAGCTATGCAACTGTCCAGTTAAAATCTGCTCTACAGAATTCTCCTGTGTCCAGGTTTTTAGCCATGAGCTGGTCAGGATGATGGTTTGGTAAGATATGTTGGACATACAATCTAGGGATACAACAATCCTGTAGTATAAATAGTGACATATCAATTTAAAGTCATCAGTTTAAACATATTTTGTTCTCTAGCAACATTTACAAAATGACTTATAAACAATTTTAAAATATTAAATAATACTTTTATGTGACTGAAAAACTAGTAAATCAGTAAAAAAGGACTTTATGCTAAGTTTGTAAGTGACATGCAGATTTTATACTGGGACATCAATAAACTTCTCGAAATAAACTTTATTACTTATAATTCTAATAAATTGCACTAAAAAATATTATCATAACTTACAAAATTTGTGTAGAAATGCATACACATGATGTCATGAAACTGGTTTTCAAATGTATAAACTCTGGTTCCTATGGCATTCACCAATAAAATTAAAATTATTTATGGTTATTCCTATATATCCCCCACCTCAATTGAGTGTTATCTATAAATACAAACATCCAAATATTTAGCCATTTATTTTCCAACCCAAAAAGGCTTGTAGCATAAATGGCAGTATAACTCTATGGTATTTAATTCCAGTTGAGTTATATTTTAATAATTTTTCAGTATTGAATAACATTTTTTAAAATAGTATCTAGACTTACAATTAAATAAGATACAGTTGTACCAGATATTCTGGAGCAACCATTCAAGTAAATTTCCTCTAACATATGACAATGATTTGCTATACAGAATATGCTTTTGTCAGTGAGATTCAGTATACCAGAGAGAACAATAATATGGAGATCACACTTTCGAGCCAGTTCACAGACACCTTCATCTGTTACCTGTAAAATAAAGAGAGAAATACAGCATGGTTATATCATAGTGTCAAGCTAGTTCACAGAAACCTTCCACTGCTACCTGTAAAACAAACAGAGAGAATTACAGCATGGTTATATCATAGTGTCAAGCTAGTTCACAGAAACCTTCCACTGTTACCTGTAAAACAAACAGAGAGAACTACAGCATGGTAATATCATAGTGTCAAGCTAGTTCACAGAAACCTTCCACTGTTACCTGTAAAACAAACAGAGAGAACTACAGCATGGTTATATCATAGTGTCATGCTAGTTCACAGAAACCTTCCACTGTTACCTGTAAAACAAACAGAGAGAACTACAGCATGGTTATATCATAGTGTCATGCTAGTTCACAGAAACCTTCCGCTGTTACCTGTAAAACAAACAGAGAGAACTACAGCATGGTTATATCATAGTGTCATGCTAGTTCACAGAAACCTTCCACTGTTACCTGTAAAAATAAACAGAGAGAACTACAGCATGGTTATATCATAGTGTCATGCTAGTTCACAGACACCTTCATCTGTTACCTGTAAAATAAACAGAGAGAACTACAGCATGGTTATATCATAGTGTCATGCTAGTTCACAGACACCTTCATCTGTTACATGTAAAACAAACAGAGAGAACTACAGCATGGTTATATCATAGTGTCATGCTAGTTCACAGACACCTTCATCTGTTACCTGTAAAATAAACCAAGAGAACTACAGCATGGTAATATCATAGTGTCATGCTAGTTCACAGACACCTTCATCTGTTACATGTAAAATAAACAGAGAGAACTACAGCATGGTTATATCATAGTGTCATGCTAGTTCACAGACACCTTCATCTGTTACCTGTAAAATAAACAGAGAACTACAGCATGGTTATATCATAGTGTCATGCTAGTTCACAGAAACCTTCCACTGTTACCTGTAAAACAAACAGAGAGAACTACAGCACGGTTATATCATAGTGTCATGCTAGTTCACAGAAACCTTCCGCTGTTACCTGTAAAACAAACAGAGAGAACTACAGCATGGTTATATCATAGTGTCAAGCTAGTTCACAGAAACCTTCCACTGTTACCTGTAAAACAAACAGAGAGAACTACAGCATGGTTATATCATAGTGTCATGCTAGTTCACAAAAACCTCCCACTGTTACCTGTAAAACAAACAGAGAGAACTATAGCATGGTTATATCATAGTGTCATGCTAGTTCACAGAAACCTTCCGCTGTTACCTGTAAAACAAACAGAGAGAACTACAGCATGGTTATATCATAGTGTCAAGCTGGTTCACAGAAACCTTCCACTGTTACCTGTAAAATAAACAGAGAGAACTACAGCATGGTTATATCATAGTGTCATGCTAGTTCACATACACCTTCATCTGTTACCTGTAAAATAAACAGAGAGAACTACAGCATGGTTATATCATAGTGTCAAGCTAGTTCACAGAAACCTTCCACTGTTACCTGTAAAACAAACAGAGAGAACTACAGCATGGTTATATCATAGTGACATGCTAGTTCACAGAAACCTTCCACTGTTACCTGTAAAACAAAGAGAGAACTACAGCATGGTTATATCATAGTGTCATGCTAGTTCACATACACCTTCATCTGTTACCTGTAAAATAAACAGAGAGAACTACAGCATGGTTATATCATAGTGTCATGCTAGTTCACAGACACCTTCATCTGTTACATGTAAAATAAACAGAGAGAAACTACAGCATGGTTATATCATAGTGTCATGCTTGTTCACAGAAACCTTCATCTGTAACTTGTAAAATAAAAGAAAAAGATATCTACAAAATGGAGATCTCAGAACACTGTAATTGCTGAGAATATAGTGCAAATTAACAATGTTATGTTTTCAGTATTTCAAGTCTTATGATTGGAGACTTTAAGAGCCTGCATGGCTCACCTGGGTTTATACTCACTGTCATAAATGGATATTCTCCAACCCTATGAAACCTATTTATACTTCTAAAGTTCCAAGCAATTAGCAAGCCTCATACTGGAATGTCAGAATTTTTAACACATTTCAATGTTTGGAATTAAGAATTACTTCTGTTTCCAGGCTTAATGGAAAGAAATGAATGGACATGTGTAAAGATAGTAATTATGTATCTCCCCATTGAGAGGCCCCTGACATACTGTAATTGCGCGAAGTCTTTGTTGTCGACAGCCAGTGATACACCTGATAACATTTAATTACCATGTTTCCATGTCCATGCTGTTATGAAACTCATTCTAATTTCACGATTTTTTGGTCAATTTTCTATTTTCAGTAATGGTGGCAGTCAAACTAGAAAGCTGTTTGGTAATCAATCCCAATTCTTCAAGGGGATCACAAATATATCCTTTACTCAAAGATTGATAGCACTTGGTCCATTATAGGATTTTTCATATTATTTTATTTTACTCCTATGTGCTATTTTTAGATATAGTTGCCATGTTGGTTTGATGACAGGATCAATAAACTCAACTTTTAAAACTTCCTAAGGTTGATGTAGGCCAAGTTTTGTTCCAAATGACCCAATGGTATCAAGGGGGGAAGATTTTTCTTTACTGCAGTTTTTGATCAACACAGGACAAAATACTTGTCATATTGTTTAGCCCCTTTGTTCCAGGTGAGCTATAAGTTAGACATACAATACCTGTGCACATCCTTTCATTCCAATTCTGTGCAGTTTCGGACAATTTCTGGCCAATGTTCGTAATAATTCATCAGTTATACACCTCTGTCCAGCAACATCTAACATTTCTAAATTGTAACAGTGATCAGCAGCTGTCAATAACACATCTAGATTTAACTGAAATAGCAAACAATCCACCTTACAAGATATTTACATGTATCTAAACACAAATCTACCAGTTATATAATTTTTAAAATGAATTACCATTAAATGTTCATTGAATTTAATTTGACTGCATACCAATTCAGAAATACTTAAAGTACTTTTATTTTTAATGTTGTGTACCATATAAATAAATACAAGGAATGAGCTGCTATTTAAATTGACAGCAAACTGGGTTTTCTTATTTTGAAAGGTGCTTTCAGGAATTTTTGACCCTTCACATTCTATGCCCATTTTCTAGTCTATAACGGACCCTCATTCCTGAACAGCAAAAATGAAAATTGGCAATATCAAACTTGGCCACAATTTGGTCATCAGTAACAGCATATTAAAATTCTAAGAGCATTGGCTGGATGGTTCATAAGTAATTGCAGGGAAATGACATAAAGCCCAAATTTCTAATCTATCAAGGACCATAATTCCTGAACGGCAAAAAAGAAAATCGTCAACATCAAACTTGACCACTATTTTGTCATCAGTAACAGTATAATAAATTAAGTAACAGCACGGAAACGACATAAAGTGCCATTTCTCTTTAAATGAAATTTGTACAAATCATTAATCTGTCATTAGCAAATTTATTACAGTACTGTTTACCTTTTTAGTGCTGACAAACAATTTCTTTATCAACATTGCTGTATCTGGATTCTCCAATAAAGGAACAAGTGTTGTTAATGTTAGGCTATGACACATACTGAAATCTAATTGCTCTAAACTTTTACAATATCTGGTGACAGACTTTAATCCTTCATCAGTCAATGTGTTACTAACTGTTCCACTTATATCTAAACATATTAATCCTTTACCAATATGTTGTAAGATCTAAAAATAAAATAGTCTAAATTACAACTGACTTTATTAGATCATAAAAAGAAAAATTCAGATTAAGGTTTGGCTATTGAAGTCTGAGCATCATGATCCAAAAAAACCTCAGACATTCTGGCTACAACCCTGCAGATACTAGATCAAGCTTTTTAGCATGAAATGGAAATTAAACACAAGTTTAGTGTAAAACATAATTACTACAATTATTTGAGCATTCTTATGCATGAAAGTAACATTGCATTCAGGTTCAATAAAAAAAAAAAATTTGAAGTAGCTTCCATTGAGGTAGAGAGGAAACTGTCTCACCAAAGGAGGAAGTTCGATAAGGGCCATATTTGGCCTCGAATATTAAGTTTATAGTTTGAAGATGTTTCAAGTTAACGAAGAAACACGCGAGAAAGTGAAATAAAATTATTTTTGTGGAGCTTTTCTTAAAAAAGCTTAAACATTTACAACCCATATAGGCCAAAAGTAGAGATTTTGGTGAAATTTTACAAAATGGTCGTAAATTCTACCAAATTTAGGCATAGGAAACATAGAGCGCAGGCTTGACAAACTAAATATTCAAATCAGATATGTAAAATGTTATAGCAAACATTATGTTATAAAATCTGTCTTGTTGACACATGCGCTCTAGGTTTCCAGTTCCAATCAATGGAAATTTACCAGTTTTCTTGAGATTTCATGGAGAATCAAATGTGTGCTATGTGTGGCTTCATGAAAAGAACGCTAATACGTAAATTTTCAATAATAAGGTATATTTCCTCCCTAGTCATTGTTTTAACTATGATTCATTGTAATATTGGGAAATAAATCCTAATTTGAAATTTTAGTTAGAAATAGGAGCCATTTTAGTGCCTTATTGATACTACATTTTTACAAATAAATATTGAGAGATAGAATAAACAATGTGTATTCAATAGTATGGAATGAGGATGGTTTCAAAGATTTGACCTCTCTATGCTTGAAACAAGTATTCCTAATCATTAACTTATACTGAATAAAAAGATCAATATAGATACACAAATATATTGTTTTGGGAATGAACCAATTATACCTTATAACAAGAATGTGTCCATAGTACACGTATGCCCCACTTGCACTATCATTTTCTATGTTCAGTGGACCGTGAAAACTCTAATTTGGCATTAAAATTAGAAGGATCATATCACAGGGAACATCCGATGTTACTCGAATAAAAGAAAAAGTGTGCCAAAAATTTTAGAAATTGGGAGATATGCCATTCGGTATCGTGTTACCATAAATAAATGAATCCAGATTAGCAAAAGTAGAACCATTTACTATTCAATCTTATAGTTTAACTTAAAAATCTTTATAATATTTAACAAACCTAAATTAATCTTTATTGAATTTGAACTTAAATGCCCATAATTAACAGATATCAAACAGGATAAAACATTTTCAATGATGTTCTCTTTAAATTGGTAATATGAAACACAAATAATGGTTATCTATGATAACAAAAGCCCCTAAATTAACTGTAGATTATCTATGATAACAAAAGCCCCTAAATTAACTGTAGGTTATCTATGATAACAAAAGCCCCTAAACTAACTGTAGGTTATCTTGATAACAAAAGCCCCTAAATTAACTGTAGGTTATCTATGATAACAAAAGCCCCTAAATTAACTGTAGTTATCTATGATAACAAAAGCCCCTAAATTAACTGTAGGTTATTTATGATAACAAAAGCCCCTAAATTAACTGTAGGTTATCTATGATAACAAAAGCCCCTAAATTAACTGTAGTTATCTATGATAACAAAAGCCCCTAAATTAACTGAAGGTTATTTATGATAACAAAGGCCCCTAAATTAACTGTAGGTTATCTATGATAACAAAAGCTCCTAAATTAACTGTAGGTTATCTATGATAACAAAATCCCCTAAATTAACTGTAGGTTCTCGTTGTCTCCTAGATGAATCCCATTTAATAGAAAAGCTCTATCATAGTAATAAAATTCTCAAAATGTTAGTTTATTAATTTTTCAGATCACATAGAAACAGTTTGGGGCTCAGAAAATAATGATTAGTCTCTCTCAACTTTAAAGGGATCTAAAAGGGAAGACTTTTTTGATATTTTTACAAAATAATAATCAAACAGAAAAACAACGCTCTTCCATAACATAAGCATTGTTAAATGATATCTGTAGGAATACTAATAGGATTTTTTTCTTATAAATACCACTATGTAATATAATTCTATCATCAAAACCTATGCACTTTTTACATTACCTGTGAAAATGTTTCATCATTCAATGCTGTAACTCCACTCAATCTGATGTGTTTTAATCGTTTTAATCTTTGCACACATTCTATAAATAAAGTTTCATCATCCAACAGAATTCCACACAGTGATAAACTTGTTAACGACGTTGGTAGTGTCCAGAAATATTCATTATGTGGACGGCTTCTTAATCCATTACAGTAAGATAAGTCTAAATGTTGCAACTCTTGACAATTTTGTGACAACTGAAAATAAACAATAACTTTAAACAAGTTTTAGCAAATATCAAGTGTAATTAACAGGAGATAATAATAATCTATATAATAAGAAACAAGAAAATTTGTCTGTGAGACATCATGCCCTGCTCTCATTATCACATTTCCATGTTAAGTGTACTGCAAAACCTGGCTCAAAACCCTAATTTGGCATATATTTGTAAATGGTCGCATCAAAATACTCATGTGTTCTCAAATTAAGTTGATGTGACTGCAACTCTTTGGAAAACTACCTTAAATGTAGATCTAATGTAACCTAGTTGTGGTGATTTTCTAGACTTACATATATGCATATAAATAAAAGGGTATATGTAAATGAGACTGCAACTTAGGACAAAAAAAACTTACTCAACCCAAGTATAGAAAAGCAAGGAATACATTTGACAGTGAGTATGAAATATCTGTGACCAACATCTAGATTCTTTTAAGGACATAAAACATAAAGTATGCATATATATGTTTTATATCTATTCATGAATTGGCATATATATGCTTTATATGTATTAATCTATTGACATATATATGCTTTATATGTATTCATCTATTTGCATAGATATGCTTTATATGTAATCATCTATTGGCATATATATGCTTTATATGTATTCATCTATTGGCATAGATATGCTTTATATGTATTCATCTATTTGCATAGATATGCTTTATATGTATTCATCTATTGGCATATATATGCTTTATATGTATTCATCTATTGGCATAGATATGCTTTTTATGTATTCATCTATTGGCATAGATATGCTTTATATGTATCAATCTATTTGCATAGATATGCTTTATATGTATTCATCTATTTGCATAGATATGCTTTATATGTATTAATCTATTTGCATAGATATGCTTTATATGTATTCATTTATTTGCATAGATATGCTTTATATGTATAATTGATGTATTGGTGTTTTGTTTTATTATTTTTTTATTTGCAACAGGATCCTGTCAGATATCTGGTCAACAACAAAAATCAGCTGTCTTCATAACTTGTAGGTTCTCCTGACTTAACGTTAGCAGTAGCCTCTAAGAGTGCAGTGGTATATTAGTAGCCTCTAAGAGTGCAGTTATATATTAGCAGCCTCTAAGCGTGCAGTGATATACAGTACCATTCAAATGGACCAGCTCTCCCACAGCCTACACAGAGGAAAATTTCGGAGTCACTCCTAGAAACTCCGATATTCCTCCCAAAATGTTGGGAGGAATTTAGGAGTAATCTCTCCCAAAATCGTGTAAATGTTGATTGTGATAGCGAGCTCACTCCCAACGAGGAATTAATTGCCCTAATCCTACTTTAATCTATGCCGGCACACGACTGATAGGGTAATTGGATTACCTGATGTAATAAACAATTATATTTCCGGTCTACTGTACCAGTTTAAGTGTCAAACAAGTGTATAATTTTAAATGTCTTTTTATATTGGTTAAGTTTAATTTTTGTGTTAAAAATAAGTTAAAATATTTTCGTATTTCTTGCTTGCTATTCTAAAAACATCTCTACCTAAATGGACTTGCTTTTATAAAAAAAACTGACATTGCCGAAAAAGGTTTATAAAATTTTGTGGAAAATGTGGAAAAAAACGCAAAATTCTACTTCAAAGCTGAATAAATGTGAGCAGTTTAAAGAAAATTACGTGTCTCAAAGTTTTGTATACAACTAAAAAAGAAAATATTATTCACCATTCGTTATGCTTAATAAGTCTACGGCATTTTCTTTTTACGATTATCTAATTGCTTGAAACAAATTAAAGATTTAAAAGCAAAATGTTGTTGTTAATTCTTTTTAAATTGCATTAAAGTTTTATAAAAAAAAACTATACTTGATTTTAACCTGTTTTTTTTTCATCGGTAAATTAATATTTTATTTACAAAAAGGGACATACTTGTGTAAAAATAAACGGAAACTACCGCTGATTAAATGTGAGCAGTTTAAAGAAAATTACGTGTCTCAAATTTTTGTATATGCAAGTAAAAAAGAAAAAAATTTTCACCATTCGTTATACTTAATAAGTCTACGGCATTTATTTTTTACGATTTGTTGGCATTACTTTAGGATAATAATACATTTCAGCTACAACAGGAATACTTCCACCGCTGCATTAACTCGTCTTTGCATAATATTTATTTACGCACAATGAATGTAAACTTGTGTGTTGTATTTTGGACAGTGATCTTGAAAGATTTTAAAAGAAATTAATTTGCCATGGGAAGACAATTCCACGATACACATCTCAGTGATCAACAGTGTGTGGTTGAACTTGAACTTGACTTTGCTCACAATATTAAATGCTAATAAAATGCTCCGCTGGGGCGCAGCTTGATATGACCCCAGAGGTCGAACCCTAAACAGTTGGGGCAAGTATGGACACAACATTCAAGCTTGATACAGCACTGAATTTGGATTGTAATTAAATATTTGATACAGCATAGGTTTCTGACACAGAATGAATGTGGTCTAAGAACTGAAAAATTTTTAATTTACCTATTCAAACCATATCATTATTATTCATGTTATTTGCTTTTATATATAAATCAGAAATAACCAATTTAAAATGGAAAATTTTAAAGAAAAAAAAGGGAAAAAAAATCCCCCCCCCAAATTTTTGGAACCCCCTTATGATTCATCAACCCCAAACTCAATCCCAGCCTTCCCTTTGTGGTATGGCACCTTGCAGTACAATTTCAGAGAGATCCATACACTTGAACACAAGTTATTGTCTGGAAACTAGAAAAATGCTTATTTTTGGCCCCTTTTTCCTTAACCTTTTGGGCAATTACCCCCAAACTCAATTCCAGCTTACCCTTTGTGATATGGAACCTTGTAGTACAATTTCATAAAGATCCATACACTTACACACAAATTATTGTCATGAAACTAGAAAAATGCTTGTTTTTTGCCCCTTTTTGGCCCCTAATTCCTAAAATTTGGAGGCAATTACCCCCAAAATCAATCCCAGCATTCCCTTTGTGTTATGGAACCTTGTGGTACAATGTCAGAGAGATCCATACACTTACACACAAGTTATTGTCATGAAACTAGAAAAATGCTTGTTTTTTGCCCCTTTTTTGCCCCTAATTCCTAAAACTTGGAGGCAATTACCCCCAAAATCAATCCCAGCATTCCCTATGTGATATGGAACCTTGTGGTACAATGTCACAAGTTATGTCTGGAAGTTACAAAAATGCCCATTTTTGGCCCCTTTTTGGCCCCTTATTCCTTAACTGTTGGTACCATAACCCCCAAAATCAATCCCCACCTTCCTTTTGTGGTATTGAACCTTATGGTAAAATTTCATAGAGATCCATTCACTTAAACTAAAGTTAGAGTGCGAAACCAATGTGTCTTCCGACGACAACAACGACGACAACGTCATACCAATATATCCACAACACAATATTTTCATATGGCGGGAAATAATATCACATACCAGTAAACTCAGGTGACCTCTCTGAACGACCGTGGGAAAATTCATTCAGGTTTTTAAAGTTGCTTTGTATTAATGATTGACATTTTTGTGCGTTAGTATTGAGGCTCTAGAAGGTCCTTTTACAATTGATTAACCGGAATCTAAAATATAATCCTTTTCCGAATAAACGAACACGTCTTCTTTAACTATTTTATTTTTTATGTTTTATCAGTCAAAACAGGACGTAGACCTGAACATTAGTTATACGTCCATGGTCAACAATATAAATTTATTGTAGATGAAAACACGATGCATGCCGTTAAGTTGGGCGTTGGTAGAGATCCTCTGTGAAAATGAGTACATCGTTAAAATCCTTTAAAATCCTGTCCACTGATTTTTTCACATATTTTTTTCTTGTAGCATCTGGGTACACGATATAATTTCATTTTAATGTTTTTTGTATATATATTTGATTTTTTTCTTTAGTAATTGTTGAAATAATTCATTTTTTTCATTTCGCCAAGGACTTTTAATGAGCAGTAAAATACGGATTGCGCTCATCCAATTTTATTTTAAATAATTAAAGATCAATAACAGAGATAAACGCATGATTTTTTTCCATATAATTAATTAAGTTGTGAATGTTGTGTTGTGCCTGGGTGGGGAACTTCTCTCAGTGTTTTGTTTTTATGAATAAAGGGCATGCATACAAAACTTATTCCCTTTGTTCAACAGAGTTGTCACTTTACAGTTTCTTTTCGGAATTCAAATAATTCAAGTCTGTCATATACTGAGGTAGTGAAACATAATATTCTATATTGCAAAATAAATATTTACCGGAAATTGCTTACTGAGTAAGTCATAAAAGATTCTAATTGTGGTAAATTGTCTTTGTTGAAAGAACACAAAGTATGACCTGACCGGACTATAATAGAAATACAAAATAAGTTTTTTCTTCGTATTTTTCTTCTTTTGTACATTTTATTTCAAATGACAATGACATGGGGCAAAAACATGTAAAAATAATTATCTTATGCCGAATGATAATGTCACATCTTTATCTGTCAAAGAAAGGAAAACATTTGTTAAAATTTTAATAACGTGTTTTTAAAGGAACACAGGTGCAATCAAGATCGATTAGATGTATATAGGTAAATAATCTGGCTAATCTGATTATGTTGTCATGCGTCTTTAATTTTTAGGACATCCGATGGGCAATAAACCAATTAACAGCCACGCTGTGTTGGGAGAGAATATTTGGAGGAAATTGGGAGTATAATCAGCGGTACACAGTGTGACTCTGAAAAACACGGAAATCGGAAAAAAACGATCTCGAATCGATCCGTTTAAATGGTACTGTATTAGTAGCCTCTAAGAGTGCAGTGATATATTAGTAGCCTCTAAGAGTGCAGTGATATATTAGTAGCCTCTAAGAGTGCAGTGATATATTAGTAGCCTCTAAGAGTGCAGTTATATATCAGTAGCCTCTAATAGTGCAGTGATATATTAGTAGCCTCTAAGAGTGCAGTGATATATTAATTGCAAAATTGTTTCCCTTTAATGTTTTGATGTGTGTTTGAATATAAACTTACCTCAAAAACTGCCTCTCCATTTAAATTTGAACATCCATGCAAATTTAACCTAATAAAATTGAAAACATAAATAAATACTAAACAGAATGAATTCATTAACAGTTATGTAGATTTCTAAATTCAATCTCTATATCTCATAAAAATATTTATTTGAATTATCAAAAGCAAGTAGGTTCACCAAGGCTTAATATTGGCCTTATAATTCTGTGAAATTTAAATTCAGTTATTATTGTAAACATCTGATGACAAAATATGTTAAAATATCAGTCAAATACAAAGTCAACAAGCTCTGATGCATAACAACACTTATGATGTCATATGTCATAATTAAAACAAGCATTCTGTGAGTATTGCCTGGCAATACATAATCCCCTACTGGTTAAAAATTCATTGTACAGGAAAAAAATGCTAACTTGATCTATAACTTGTCTTGGTGTAAACTATATAACAAATATCAAGTCAATATCTTCAAGCATGACGTAAAAAAGTGAGGAAAACTGATTATTTGAGTAAATTTTCTAAGTCCAAGGACCATAACTCTGCACAAAATCATTAGACCGGACCAAAATTTGAACTTGATCTGTAACTTGTCATGATAAAACTATATACCAATCATCAAATCAATATCTTTAAGCATGACAAAAAAAAGTGTGGAAAACTGATTATTTGAGTGAATTTTCTAAGATCAAGGACCATAACTCTGCACAAAATCATCAAACCTGAACAAAATTCAAACTTGACCTGTAACTTGTCAAAATAAAACAATACACCAAATATCAAATCAATATCTTCAAGTACAAAGAAAACTAGAGGCTCTCAAGAGCCTGTGTCGCTCACCTGTATTTACTGATGCTTTGGAAATCATGTAAAATAAGGTTAAAATCATAATTAATAGTATTAGATATTAGATATTATAATGATATCTAAGATAATAACAAAAAACTGCAAAATTTTTGTAAAATTACTAACTCAGGGGCAGCAACCCAACAACGGGTTGTCGGATTCGTCTGAAAATTTCAGGGCAGATAAATCTAAATCTGATGAACTTTTTTGCCACCAGTCAGATTTGCTCTAAATGCTTTAGTTTCAGAGATATAAACCAAAAACTGCATTTTACCCCAATGTTCTATTTTTAACCAAGTCGGCCATGATGGTTAGAAGGCGGGGTCATCGGACAAATTTTTCAAAGTAGATACCCTAATAATGATTATGGCCAAGTATGGTTATATTTGTCTCAGTAGTTTCAGAGAAGAAGATTTTTGTAAAAGATTACAAAAATTTACAAAAAATTGTTAAAAATTGACTATTAAGGGCAATAACTCCTAAAGGGGTCGACTGACAATTTTGGTCATGACAACTTATTTGTAGATCTTACTTTGCTGAACATTATTGCTGTTTACAGTTTATCTCTATCTATAATAATATTCAAGATAATAACCAAAAACTGCAAAATTTCCTTAAAATTACCAATTCAGGGGCAGCAACCCAACAACCGGTTGTCAGATTTGTCTGAAAATTTCAGAGCATATAGATCTTGACCTGATAATCAGTTTTACCCTATGTCAGATTTACTCTAAATGCTTTGGTTTCAGAGATATAAGCCAAAATCTACATTTTACCCCTATGTTCTATTTTTAGCCATGGTGGCCATCTTGGTTGGTTGGTGGGGTCATCGGACATATTTTTTAAACTAGATACCCTAACAATGATTGTGGCCAAGTTTGGTTAAATTTGGCCAAGTGGTTTCAGAGGAGAAGATTTTTGTAAAAAGCTAACGACGACGGAGACGACGCCGACGACGACAACGACGGACGACAGACGACGGACGCCAAGTGATGAGAAAAGCTCACTTGGCCCTTCGGGCCAGGTGAGCTAAAAACAGAAAAATTACCTTAAAATTACCAATTCAGGGGCAGCAACCCAACAACGGGTTGTCCGATTCATCTGAAAATTTCAGGGCAGATAGATCTTGACCTGATGAACAATTTTACTTCATGTCAGATTTGCTTTAAATGCTTTGGTTTTTGAGTTAAAAGCCAAAAACTGAATTTTACCCCTATGTTCTATTTTTAGCCGTGGCGGCCATCTTGGTTGGTTGACCAGGTCACGCCACACATTTTTAAAACAAGATAACCAAATGATGATTGTGGCCAAGTTTGGTTTAATTTGGCCATGTAGTTTCAGAGGAGAAGATTTTTGTAAAAGATTACAAAAATTTACAAAAAATTGTTAAAAATTGACTATTAAGGGCAATAACTCCTAAAGGGGTCGACTGACAATTTTGGTCATGACAACTTATTTGTAGATCTTACTTTGCTGAACATTATTGCTGTTTACAGTTTATCTCTATCTATAATAATATTCAAGATAATAACCAAAAACAGCAAAATTTCCTTAAAATTACCAATTCAGGGGCAGCAACCCAACAACAGGTTGTTCGATTCATCTGAAAATTTCAGGGCAGATAGATCTTGACCTAATAAACAATTTTACTTCATGTCAGATTTGCTCTAAATGCTTTGGTTTTTGAGTTATAAGCCAAAAACTGCATTTTACCCCTATGTTTTATTTTTAGCTGTGGCCGCCATCTTGGTTGGTTGGCCGGGTCACGCCACACATTTTTTAAACTAGATACCCCAATGATGATTGTGGCCAAGTTTGGTTTAGTTTGGCCCAGCTGTTTCAGAGGAGAAGATTTTTGTAAAAGATAACTAAGATTTACGAAAAATGGTTAAAAATTGACTATAAAGGGCAATTACTCCTAAAGGGGTCAACTGACCATTTCGGTTATATTGACTTATTTGTAAATCTTACTTTGCTGAACATTATTGCTGTTTACAGTTTATCTCTATCTATAATAATATTCAAGATAATAACCAAAAACAGCAAAATTTCCTTAAAATTACCAATTCAGGGGCAGCAACCCAATAACGGGTTGTCCGATTCATCTGAAAATTTCAGGGCAGATAGATCTTGACCTGATGAACAATTTTACCCTATGTCAGATTTGCTCTTGATGCTTTGGTTTTTGAGTTATAAGCTAAAAACTGCATTTTACCCCTATGTTCTATTTTTAGCCGTGGCAGACATCTTGGTTGGTTGACCGGGTCACGCCACACATTTTTAAAACTAGATACCCCAATGATGATTGTGGCCAAGTTTGGTTAAATTTGGCCCAGTAGTTTCAGAGGAGAAGATTTTTGTAAAAGTTTACGGACGACGGACGACGGACGACGGACGCAGGACGACGGACGCAAAGTGATGAGAAAAGCTCACTTGACCTTTCAGGTCAGGTGAGCTAAAAAGTGTGGAAATCTGATTTGCCGGACTGACAGATGGACAGACAGACAAACAGACAGACAGACGGAGTGCAAACCTAAAGTCCCCTTCGACTTCGTCGGTAGGGGACTAATAAATGGGGAATGTGTCCATGGGACATAGATGATGCCCCCCGCTTGCATATCATATAAAGTTATAAAGGGACATAACTGAAGAACGGTAAAAGTGACACTACCCAAATTTGTACTCGATCTGAGTTTTGTGGTAATAAGTATTGTGTATAAGTTTCATAACATTTGGTTGAGGCAAACTTAAGTTAGAGAACGAAACGAAAAATTCAGCAATTTTTCCGTTCGTAAAGGAGCACAACTCTAGAACAGTAAAAGTGACACCACTAAAATTCAAACTTGATCTGTGTTTTGTGGTAATATGCATTGTGTATAAGTTTCATAACATTTGGTTGAGGCAAACTAAAGTTAGAAAACGGAAACGAAAAATTCAGCAATTTTTCCATTTGTAAAGGGGCATACAGATTTCAATCAAATTAAGGCATAGGAAACATAGAGCACAGGCGTCAACAAACTAACTATTCAGGTCAGATATGTAAAACTTTATAACAAACATTATATGAAAATATCTTTTTTGAAAACGCATGCGCTCTACATTTTCCGTCCAAAAAAATTAATGGAAATTTACCTATTTTCATTGAATTTTCATGGTAAATCCAAATGACTGCTATTTGTGATGTCACGAATTGAATGCAAATTTTCAATCAAGTCATTGAATTAGCTATGATTCCTTTTGAAATTGGTCAATAAATCCTAGTTTGAAAATGTAGCTAGAAATAGGGGCCATTTTAGGGCCTTATTGAACCTACTATTCATATTTAGATCATAAATATAGGTTTTTACATATGATATTACAAATTTCAATTTCTAGAACTAAATTAAGGCCTTCGTGGAACTACTACTTTTCTTTTCTAATTGTAAAAGTCTTGACAGGTAATATTTACCACTACAAAGTTTGAATTAAATAAATAAACTCTTACAATCTTAAAACCATGAACTGCAAATCTTCATAACATAAATTGAATGAAAACATCAATAAATAAATTAACCTAATTTTATTTTTTAAATGCTATATTCACTAAGACATAAATCATTGAAGGTGTTACTTTTCATATTGCTGTACAATAAATATAACTGGATGTTAACTTGAACCAAAGTAAGTTAAAAAACAAAGATTTTTTCACTTTTGCAAACTTTTGGCCGTAAGGGTATTTGTAGAAGGTTAATCTAGAAAAGTACTTCATTTAAAGTAAATTATGTAAAGTAAAAGGTTAACATGCTAAAAACCTTTTTTAAAGAGGACTGACCTTTTTAGATTTGGACAGTACTTTGCTATGGTCTTTAAACTCTCACTCCTCATAACATGTGGGTTTCCATCTAAATCTTCCTACAAAACATATAACAATTTAGTATAATTAAGTGTATTTCCATCTAAATCTTCCTACAAAACATATAACAGTTTAGTATAATTAAGTGTACAATGTATTATCCTTTTACTTCAAAAGTTTTCATATAGCGTCTTTCTTACAGGTCTGTTTTGACAAATAAATAGAGAAAAGTATATTTGCTTAACACAACCAAATAATTCTAAAAGCTGATTCCGATTGTTCCTATGAAAGTGAACTCTAACAGGGTTTTACCAGATCTTCTTTCAGTCATATAAGGTAATAGTTTGAAAAGTGATTTCATATCACTCTTAATCATTGGGTTAATCTTTCTTTAAAAGAATATCAAATATCAACTTTAACAAATTATACCCTATAATAAACAATATAAGAAACAACAATTACCAAACTGCCTCTCAATCCTTGTGCTATAACTGCAAATACATCATCATATAGTTTGTGACATCCATCAATATTCATACATCTAATACTAGGATTGTTGTTCACAAGGGTTTTTATTCCTAAAATTGTTCAAATCAGATTTATAATTTACAATCATTATAATTTTACATATCCATAGTTATGTTGAACATAGAGAATGCTGCATACATAAAGGCAACAGTAGTATACCGCTGTTCGAAATTCATAAATCGATTGAGAAAAAAAACAAATCCGGGTTACAAACTAAAACTGAGGGAAACACATCAAATATAAGAGGAGAACTACGACACAACAGAAACACAACATTCAAATGTAACACACACAGAAACGAACTATAATATAACAATGGCCATTTTCCTGACTTGGTACTGGACATTTTAAAAAAAAAATGGTGGGTTGAACCTGGTTTTGTGGCTAGCCAAACCTCCTGCTTTTATGGGCAATGTTAAATATAACATTAAAAAGACAACATTACATGACAGGACTACAATACAAATAAATGGGAGAACATATAGGACAGAGAAACATACGAATAATAGCTAACAAAAGGTACCAGGTTTAAAATTTAATACGCAAGACGCACGTTTCGTCCACACAAGACTTACCAGTGACGCTCAGATCAAAAAAGTTCAAAAGCCAAAACAAGTACAAAGTTGAAGAGCATTGAGGACCAAAAGTTCAAAAAAGTTGTGCCAAATACAGCTAAGGTTATATGTCTGGGATAAGAAAATCCTTAGAATTTAGTTATTCTTAAACAATTTGAATAAAATAAGCATTGTGTATAAGTTTGATAACATTTGGTTGAGGCAAACTAAAGTTAGAGAACGGAAACGAAAAATTCAGCAGTTTTTATGTTTATAAAGGGGCATAACTCAAGAATTGTAAAAGTGACGCCACCCAATTTCGAATCTGATCTGTATTTTGTGGTAATAAGCATTGTGTATACGTTTCATAACATTTGGTTGAGGCAAACTAAAGTTAGAAAACGGAAACGAAAAATTCAGCAATTTTTCCATTTGTAAAGGGGCATAACTCTAGAATGGTTACAGTGACGCCACCAAAATTCAAACCTGATCTGTGTTTTGTGGTAATAAGCATTGTGTATAAGTTTCATAACATTTGGTTGAGGCAAACTAAAGTTAGAGAACGGAAACCAACTTTGCGACGGACGTACGGACGTACAGACGGACAAGGGTAAAACTTAATGCCCCTCCGCTACGGCGGGGGCATAAAAAATACAAAACTAGGATCTGACACCATGCCCGATGGTACATGGCACTTTATTTCTATGTTCACTGAAATGTGAAATTGGGGTCAAAACCCGATTTGGCATATAATTTGAATAGTTCACACCATAATGATCATGTGAAGTTGATAAGACCTCAACTTCATGAAAAACTACCTTAACCAAAAACTTAAACCTGAGAACGTCCTGATTTTACAATATCACATTTTCATGTTCACTGAACCATGAAATCAGGGTCAAATTTGGCATATAAATTAAAGTTCACATCTTAATGACCATGTGTACTAAGTTTCAAGTTGATGTGAACACAACTTAAGGGTACAAATGTAAACTACAGTTACCAAATCTTCTAACTTTTATAATAAGGGACAGACAAATGGAAGGAATAGCTCACAGACAGACAGACTGACAGATCAGAAAATATAATACCCCTCTACTATTGTAGGTAGGACATAAAAATTATTCCAATACAATGTATGTTGCTAGAGGTCTTAGAAGAGATATTTTTGCTAAACCAATACATCTTTCTGATATTTCTTTAATTTTTAAAACAGTGAAAATTTTAAATTTTAAGATGAGAGTTTGGAAGTTCTGGGAAATTGTTTTTTAATGAAGACAGTATATAGATCTTAAAATGTCTTTTATCATTGTGTTTTCCTCTCATTGATTTTAACTTCAATGTATATAACATCTCCTTTCATCCGTCAAATGAAATTTGAGTTAGACTAACCATTAACTGTTAAAGCAAGGCAGCCAGTTAAATCCACAGTCTGGAGTTTAGAAGATCTAATACATGACAGTCCAGAAGATGTTATGTTTGTCAGTCTACGTAATCTTAAATAAGACAGTTCATCTTGTCCATCAGTAATTTTCTTTATACCAACATCTGTAAAACACAATCAACCGTTTTACCATTACATGTAGATATCAATTAAAAAACAAAGCATGGATTAAATACATCCTTTATTTAAACTAATGTTCCAAATATGCCAAAGATATAAATATGCATTATACATATTAAAAGCTATCGAATATTTTTTTACCACTGAACTTTGGTACTTATTTATAGATACATACATTTTTGTGCATGTAAAAATGTGAACTCAGGTATATACTGTAAACCAACTAATTTATGAGATTTCTTTACGCTAGTGGAAAAATAAAACAAGTATAAATGATGGCAAATATGTAAAACTTAAGCCTTCCGTTATATAAAAACATCAATAAGATAAGACACAGCTAAAATAAATTGCCCAGAACTGGGTTGAAAAGGGCTTAATGTGCAATAAAGTATACAATGTACTCTATTATGATTTTTTTTGGTGGACTTTTTGTGCATATTCTCTATAAATAATATGTTAAACAGCAATACCATTTACATCAACTACCCACCATGCAACTTGGTCTGCACTGAATCAAAATTATATTTCAAACAGAAATGATAGAAAAATCCATCAACCAGCTGCCAGCATCGCTGATATAATCTGCTTTGTACTAGACCATCAAGCTTAGCCAGATTTTAAACATACTATATGCAGCTAAGATATTCACAGGAAGATCTGTTTCTCCATCTGGATTTATTATTCTGACACTCAACTGACCCTTATTTGTTTGTACTCCTAAATTCTGCATGCAAAGCAGTGTAGTCCCAAATATCAATATCTACATGTACATGTATTTAAGTCTAAGGTTAATTATCAATACAAATCAGCACGTGGTTGAGCCTCGTTCTTGATTTCGTTGGTCTTTAATTATATCGCGTTGACGACTGGTTTCCTTTTATTAGAAGGGTGATCAACCGTATATAATTGAATAGGGATACCAGTTAACGGAAATGTCAGCGACAAATTTATAACTTGTTCTCATAGATTCAATAAAATAACGGCTACAATTTCGCAAACGATTTCAGATGTTCACTAGACCGGTCGGGCAATCACCAGTGCTTCTGCACAAGTCCGATGAGATTTTTACTAGTCACGGGCTTCGGGCTACCGCTTAACGTCGCAGACTGCATGATGTGGATATTACCATAACTTAGATAATTTATATTGATCATTTAAACTGATCATATCCCACCAGCATCTTATTCTTACCTGTAACAGACTGGCATCGTTGTATGGTTAAAGAATCAAGTACACACTTCTGATTGGCTAATACACATAAGAATTCATCAGTCACCTGGTCACACTTGTAAAATGTCACATGACGAAGTGAACTAAAAAACAGTTGTTGTATTACAAAGGGAATGTATTCGGGTATCAATAAATCATGATCAGCGATTCGTTCTAAGAGCTGTTCTTTGTGGACAGTTGGAAGTCTCTCTCCAGCATTAGGAATTTTGTCTAGATTACTCTGAATGAAATTCAGGCATATATCATGTAAATGTTTCACCATTATCTCATATTCATTGTTAGTAGCTCAAATCTGTGTAAAACTAATCTGAAAATAAAGAAATGTCTTTTTTTCATAATTCTATAAATAAATATACAGCCATCAATTCTATATCATAATTTCTAATTAGAAACACACCAATACAGCAATAAATTCTATGCATTACCTGTAAACTGAAAACATTGTAAATTTAAAATTAGTAATTTGTTTTCCGTGTGAGGTTTTACATCATGTAAAACCAAATTGTACCATTTCAGGCAAATACTTTAATAATACTTTGATTTGAACACTGATAACATCTGTGTTTTTATGATGATAGATGGATGGTTGTTTAAAATCCAGTGGCAAATTAAATGCATATTCAGGATGAGAACATGTTGGTATGATATGAATATGAGCCCTGCTTTGTACTAGACAGACATGCTGAGCCAGATTTTTAACCTGCTAGTTGACAAGGTAACATTTGCAGGAAGACATGTTACCCTATCCAGACACATTATTTTGACTTGGGGCCAACCAGTATTCACTTTTACTCCTAAATGGCATGTGCTTAGCAGAGAAGCGGCGAATACCAATTTTAAAGTCTTTGGTTTAACCTGGCCGGGGATCGAAACCCACGACTTCCGCAAACGAGCATGCTACCAAGGCAGTTTCTGTGCTTTTTGTAAGACCTCTAAATGAATCACAGTGTGAAACAAGAATTAGGAAATGGTCATATATTTGACAGTCATACATGTAACTGATTTAAAGTACAAATTTTTGAAATAAAATTTTGAAAACTGACCAAGATTCAATCGTTGTTTTGACAACAACATTCCACTTCTCTATCAATGCCGGTAATTATTTATATCATCCTTGGTGTGTGGCATAAATTCAAAGGAAGCCATATTGAGTAATTAATATTCTATCACCTGTTGATTGCAATCAAACTATAATCACGATAATTAGCCTCATTGTCAAAATCTACCTGTTGCATAAATTTTTACCTCTTCAACGAGGGGATGGAAGGAGACCCCTGAAAACGGGATTATTGTCCTCCCAATGGAAGATTCACATGTATGATACATGTATACAACTGCATACAACATAATATTCATTTATAATTACCTTTTGTTGTTCCAATAACCTAATCACAAATTTTAACAAATTATTTTCTCCCAAAATAATCAATATTAATTCATATTGGGACCAAGTCCCAATAACAGTAAGAAATTCAATAAAACGAAAAATCAATACATTAATGAACTGAAAATCATTAACTTTTTTTTTCTAACTTTTTTCTAACAGTTGAGCTTACGCATTACCTGATCCTGTTCTGTTGACAGACACTGCCATGTTGTAAGTCATATGATTTCCTGCATATTTGTATATCTAATTACCAAAGAGAATAAAGAGGATGATCATTTTGAATTTATTCTGTTTGAGTATGTAATAAAATTAGTATAAAGCTGATTCAACATACAATTAGCAAACAAAATGAGTTCTCTGAGGAAACTCACCTTAGATCAATCAGTCAGATTTTTGTATCAGTACAAAAGTCAGTAATAAGCCAACTTTGTATATTCTTTGTTTTTAGGTATAAATTATTATGTTTTTAATTAAACTATACTTAAAAACAAGAAGAAAAATAAAATGCTCCGCAGGGCGCAGCTTGATACGACCGCAGAGGTCGAACCCTGAACAGTTGGGGCAAGTATGGACACAACATTCAAGCTTGATACAGCTCTGAATTTGGATTGTGATTAAATATTTGACACAGCATAGGTTTCTGACACAGAATGAATGTGGTCTAAGAACTTAAAAATTTTAAATTGGACATTCACCTATTATGGTCCAATATCCAAAATCTAAATACATGGTTAGATTCAGCATATCAAAGAACCCTAAGAATTCAATTTTTGATGAAATCAAACAAAGTTTAATTTTGGACCCTTTTGACCTCAATGTGGACAAAGTTGATAACGGGGCCCAAAAATCAAAAATCTAAATACATGGTTAGATTCAGCATATCAAAGAACCCCATATATTCAATTTTTGTTGAAATCAAACAAAGTTTAATTTTGGACCCCGATTTGGACCAACTTGAAAACTGGGCCCATAATCAAAAATCTAAATACATGTTTAGATTCAGAATATCAAAGAACCCTAAAATTTCAATTTTTGTCAAAATCAAACTAAGTTTAATTTTGGACCCTTTGGACCTTAATGTAGACCAAATTGAAAACGGAACCAAAAATTAAGAATCTAAATACACGGTTAGATTTGGCATATCAAAGAACCCCAATAATTCAATTTTTGACGAAATCAAACAAAGTTAAATTTTGGACCCTTTGGACCTCAATGTGGACCAATTTAAAAACGGGGCCCAAAATCCAAAAACTTAATACACGGTTAGATTCAGCATATTAAAGAACCCCAAGAATTCAAGAATAAAACCCCATTGAAATTGATCAAGTTATAAGCAATTTATACGAAGTATCTTCTTTTGCACAATACTGTGCAATTGAATATTTCTTGCTATTGCGCAATACTGTACAATTGACAATTTCTTGCTATTGGATATTTCTTGCTATTGCGCAATACAGTGCAATTGAAGATTTCTTGCTATTGCGCAATACTGTGCAATTGAAGATTTCTTGCTATTGTGCAATACTGTGCAATTGAAAATTTCTTGCTATTGCACAATACTTATTATATAATAACTTACACATCCTGTTTGGTGTGTATCTCCTACCATATCATTATTATTTGCTTTTAAATATAAATCAGAAATAACCAACTTAAAATGGAAAATTTTAAAAGAAAAAAAAGAAGGAAAAACAGAAAAAAAAAGAAAAAAAAAAAATCCCCCCCCAAATTTTTTGAACCCCCTTATGATTCATCACCCCCAAACTCAATCCCAGCCTTCCCTTTGTGGTATGGTACCTTGCAGTACAATTTTAGAGAGATCCATACACTTGAACACAAGTTATTGTCTGGAAACTAGAAAAATGCTTATTTTTGGCCCCTTTTTGGCCCCCAATTCCTAAATGTTTCGGGCAATTACCCCCAAACTCAATTCCAGCTTTCCCTTTGTGATATGGAACCTTGTAGTACAATTTCAGAAATATCCAAACACTTACACACAAGTTATTGTCATGAAACTAGGAAAATGCTTGTTTTTTGCCCCTTTTTTGGCCCCTAATTCCTAAAATTTTGAGACAATTACCCCCAAAATCAATCCCAGCATTCCTTTTGTGATATGGAACCTTGTGGTACAATGTCAGAGATATCCATACACTAACACACAAGTTATGTCTGGAAGTTACAAAAATGCTTATTTTTGGCCCCTTTTTGGCCCCTAATTCCTTTACTGTTGGTACCATAACCCCCAAAATCAATCCCAACCTTCCTTTTGTGGTATTGAACCTTTTGGTAAAATTTCATAGAGATCCATTCACTTAAACTAAAGTTAGAGTGCGAAAACCAATGTGTCTTCGGACGACGCCGGACGACGACGACGTCATACCAATATACGACCAAAAAATTTTTTAATTTTTGCGGTCGTATAAAAACACAACCTGAAGATTGCGTATCTTTGTTGACATTGAAACTGACGTCATATATAAATTCCAAATAATAGGACCAACTAGATATGTTTCCTTAATTCAGTTACCTTTTCACCAGAAATTATGCTGGGGATTTTTTACACTAAATGTTTATATATATATAAATTTGTTGTTAAGGTTCATCATAACCTTTTGTCAAATATGGTGGTATTTACACCACAAATTTTATTCTGAGTACAGACAAAACCTGTGCACCTGGTAAAGGTTTAAGGCATTGTAGGAACTAGATAATTAAATTTTAAATGCATATTATGTTTCAGAAAATTTAAAACTTCCTTTGATCATGTTGATTTTGAGGTTCCTTTTTTTCGTTCCCACAGAAGGTATCGGGTCCGTTCGCGCCCAATACACGTTCGCACCCTACACGTTCGCACCCCACACGTTCGCCCCCTAGGTCCGTTCGCACCCTACACGTTCGCACCCTTTTTTTTTTATTCAAAAACCTGATAAATTTTTAGATGTTTTGTAGATGTATATATCAAAATATTTTTATTTTCATAATAAAAATTCGGGAATTTTTAAATGATATATTGTTTTAAATTGATTTGATGATTAATTATTAAATGTTAATTATGTATGATTACTGCTAATTGGTATTTATACACAGCCTAATAGGGTGTTATTGTTGAGTGTTTAAAAATCATGATTGTTGTCATGGTTGTTTTAACTTGCTTTAAATGTAAATACTGCATGTATTTAGCTTGGTATGAGTAAAACTGAAAAGATTTTAAATAAAAAACATGAAAGATAATTGTTTTTAACAGCTTGGCTCCTTTGATCTCATGTGTGTCAGAATCTCACTTTATTCATAAACAATGAAAAAAAAATATTTATAGCAATACACTATCCAAAACATGATTACGAATTATTCAACACATAAAAAAAAAAAACGTTGTCAGAATCCCATTTCCTTTTGAAACAAAAAAAAAGAAATATTTATAGCAATACACTAACCAAAACATGATTAAGATTTTATCAACACCTAAAAAAACGTTGTCAGAATCTCACTATATTTAGAAACAATGAAAAAAAAAAATTTATATATATATATATATATATATATATATAGAGCAAGTCTAAATTGAAAACAACGTTCAAACCTATGATTGCGTTGGATAAAAACCGCAATTTTTATACGTGTGCATGCAAAACAAATTTCTTGTTAGAGGGGTCTAAATACAGCACAAACAACATTTTCCAAAAGACCAAAAAAGCGAAAAAGTATATTTTAACAAAACGCATTTGACTAACAGGTCGAACAACAAATGTTCTTAAACCCTGCTGACTGCCATTGGCGATTGCCAAATAAACGGATCACCGATGTAATAAATGGATCTTAATTATAAATTTAATACTAATCAGAAAACAATAAACTTGCGGAAAAGATGGTATACCGCAAACAAAAGGTGCAAAGGTTTTTGTACACCATATCCGGATTTCGACAATTAATGTCTCTTCAGTGATGTTAGGAATCGAAACGGTATTTGGAAAACCATACAATTTACCTCAATTTAGGACAGACTCTTGAATTTTGAGGAGTCAAAATAGGATGAACGGATCATATAAACCCGAAGGCAAATATAATACAAGCCCAAACGAAAAAATATAAACAAGTCTAAATTGAAAACAACGTTCAAACCTATGATTGCGTTTGAAAAAAACCGCAATTTTTATATACGTGTGCATGCAAAACAAATTTCTTGAAAGAGGGGTCTAAATACAGCACAAACAACATTTTCCAAAAGACCAAAAAAGTGAAAAAGTATATTTTAACAAAACGCATTTGACTAACAGGTCGAATATATATATATAGAGCAATACACTTACCTTAACATGATTAAAAATTATTCATCACAAAAATAAAATACTGGTCGTCAGAATCTCACTTTATTTAAAAACAATGAAAAAAAATGTTTATAGCAATACATTTACCATGACACAAAAAAAACCTTGTCAGAATCTCACTTTATTTAGAAACAATGAAAAAATATATATTTATAGCAATACACTTACCAAAACTCGATTACAAATTATTAAACACAAAACCAATAAAAATTGGGCGCGAACGTGTAGGGTGCGAACGGACTTTGGGTGCGAACGTGTAGGGTGCGAAAGTGAAAGGGGGGCGAACGTGCATGGGGGCGAACGTGATTGGGCGCAAACGGACCCGGATTCCCCACAGAAGGTGCCAAAATAAACTAAGTGTGAAAAAATGTTTGAGATGTTCCCCAGTATATGTAATATGGACAACAATAGGTGATTTAAACAGTGTAATTGAGTGGAATGTATCAAATGAAATTCAGGTGTTTGTTTATTTTGGCACTCCTGTGGAAATGAAAAAAAAGGAACATCAAAATCAACATGATCAAAGTAAGTTTTAAATTTTCTGAAACATAATATGCATTTGAAATGTAATTATCTAGTTCCTGCTGTGCCTTAAAACTTTACCAGATGCTCAGATTTGTGTGTACTCAGAGTAAATTGTCTGGTGTAAATAGGACCATATTTTTCAATTCCTTCTGATGAACCTAACAAGATATCATATCATTAAGTATTCTAAAGGTTTGCTGACTTTTCCCCTTTTGCTGGTAACACCTGCCTCATATTACTTTTTCACTTGTGTACATAAATTAAAGTATCACTGCTGACATTAAATCGAAAAATTCTACCTGTTAAACAGTTTAAAAACTCTCATCTGATTATATATCATTTATCTGTATCTATCTGTATATACATGTCATGATGTAGGAAAGGTGATCAGTTGATTTGCCGTTTTCTACCCATCTACAATACATAAATATATATCTAAGAAAACGTGCTAGTAAAAACTACCTGTCTGCTATTCAATGTCGTCTCCTTATAGGTATAAATAACTGTCAAAGTTATATTTATACAAGCGATTTTTGTTCTATTTTCAGAGATGATCACTACTGTTTTATTGGTTTTGATTGAATCGATGAGAGGAGAGAAATTAAACCGTAAACCAGTCGCCAATATGGAGTGACTAACGAATTAGTCAATTTACAAAGCGAAACGTACAAAATCCGTAAAAATAAATAAGATTGAATGATAAACTTGTGTCTTCATATTTTAATATTACTCAAGTGTTCTTTTTTATACTGTTGTTTGTATTTTGGTCTTTTTATTTTTTCCCATGGCGTTGCCAGTTTGGAAGAAGAAGACATTAAGTTATGAGTTTGAATGTCCCTTTAACATCTTTCGCCTCTCTTCTACAAAACCACAGTCACTTGTCTCTGAAAAAAAAATATAAAAGGGGGGGGGGGCTGAAATGCAACACCAAGTAATTTGCATTCTGAGAGGAACTCTTTTATTGCAGATTTGTTCCTGAATATAGACATGGATACTTTGATCACATACAAATCATAGTTAAGTTACTTTTTGAATGAATGAATGAATTCTTTATTGCAAAGCATGATTAGTTATACGCTATAGCAACACAAACAAACTTAACACTGTGACACATGATAAACAGCAAAGAACAATATTCTAAGATCGTACAACTAGTCATGGAAGTATTATATTTCATTTTACTTCCATGGTACAATAGACAAACAATCAACTAATCAGATGTGACCTAATCTGCCCAGCCAAATTCAAATAATTACAGAATTCCAACTTATGATCAAAATTTTGTTTGATACAAAATTGAATACGAATACGAATACGAAAGTTTTCTTTTGATTCGATTCACATATAACAATACAAACATAAGCTCTTGAGAGCTTTTTACCAGAAATACCTTAATTTTTTTGGTTTTCTTTAATTTCAATTATTTTTGCGTTTTCTATGATATATTTACATAAATATACTAAAAATGGCATTTATTTACTTTTTACTATCAATTGCTAGTTTATAATTCACAGCAGTCACTGATGATATATGTAGAAAAGACAGGGACCAGGGGCAACAAACAGACATTGTTTTTTCTGAACTTTTCAAAAGTCTCCGACAAGATACCCCACCAACGGTTACTCATGCATTTGGCTCACTACGGAATAAAAGGAACTACCTTACTAATACGAAAAATACGTCGGGTGAATATGTGGAACACGATCTACTTACCCTTCCAGAGCACCTGAGATCACCCCGTTCTTTTATTGGGATTCGTGTTACTCCGTCTTTAGTTTTCTATGTTGTGTCTTGTATACTGCTGTTTGTCTTCTGGTCATTTTTCGTTTTTTTGCCATGGCGTTGTCAGTTCATTGCCGAGTTTGAATATCCCTTTATTATCTTCCACCTCTCTTTTCAAGCCGAATAAAGGACTTTCTGAGCTGCAAGTCCCAGTAAGTATAAGATGTTTTTTCCGGTGTCATAATTATAATTTTTACTGTTTACAGAACTTTGAACATTCAAAATACTTAGGTATTTCTACCACAGGAATAGATTACCTTAGCTGTATTTGGCTAAACTTTTCGGAATTTTGGGTCCTCAATGCTCTTTGAATTCGTATTTTATTTGGCCCTTTTAATTTGTTTTTTATTCGAGCGGCACTGATGAGTCTTTTGTAGACTAAACAATATTTTCACTTCTGTACTCGAACTGTGAATAACAAATTTATTTTGTAAAAATGTTTCTGTACACCTAACAACAAAATTAATATATTAAATTTACCTGTGTACATTACTTTATTTAACGCCATTTTGTCCTAGGTTAAAGTTGTCTTTTTGACATTAGACATCTTTTTTATTTATATTGTGTCATAGATCATACTTATTCGTTCAGTGTATATTTCCTTGTTTTTGCGTATTGTCTTTTTGATTGAGTTAAGCCATTTCAATCGATATTTTATTGTGTGTCTTTTTATGTTGTAATGTTATACCACTGTTTCAGGGTAGGGATGAGGTTGGCGCCTATTAAAACGTTTAAACCCGCTCCATTTTTATGCACCTGTCCTAAGTCAGGAGCCTGTTGTTTCAGAGTGGTTGTCGTTTGTTGGTGTGGTTCATAAGTGTTTCTCGTTTCTAGTTTTTTTATATAGATAAGACCGTTGGTTTTCCCGTTTTAATTGTTTTACACAAGCCTTTTTAGGGCCCTTTATAGCTTGCTGTTCGGTGTGAGCCAAGGCTCCGTGTTGAAGGCCGTACTTTGACCTATAATTGTTTACTTTTACACCATGGCCAACTATTATCCTCAGTGTAAGCCAGTACGAGTTATCGCGCATGATTTTAATTTCTTATCCGTCTGATCAGTCTTTTCTGTGTGTGATATCTTATCAAGACAACATGCTGAGTTTGTAAAGACAATGTTGACACTCGTAAATAATTTGACAACACTTAGTAAACAATATTATAACCATATGACATTGTAGCATGCTAGGTTCCGCATGAATACGAGTTGTATAAACTGACTTTATTTCCAAAAGATAAAATTCGATTTTACCGAATATCAAACATACAAAATAAAAAGTCGAAAAAGGACAAATACGAGATTATGATAACCAAACATATATACATGTATATATATCTATCATTAAATCGTTGGCTTGTTATAGTTTATAAAAGCACTTACATAAAATTAAAATTGTTCTTTAACAATTTCAAAAGCAAGAGGGTTATAATTGTGAGGTTATATTATATTAGATATAATATTCTTGATTTCAGTAACACCATTTTTAGAGAAGTATGCAATGAGTTGACAATCAAAATATGGATAGATGTAATTCATGTAATAACAAAATACATAATCGAAAAATGATTCACTATAGTCATCAATAGAAATGTTCACACGATGTTGTTCGATTTTGATATATCTTAAACCTTTCTTTCGACGTAAACCCGAATATGAGACAACGTAGATTTTTATCTTGTTTTACCTCCTAGAATTGTATGTTGATTTTTATTTTCACTAACTTTTCAGCCATGATTTCTGAGAGACATTTTTCTCAAAATGGGCCTTCAACACTTAATGCTACTATAGTACCATTGCCCGCGACGATTCATTTTGTTTATAAATCACAGTGGAAAACACGCTACATAAACGTATTGTAAAGAGAAATGTCGTATTAATAATGAATAAGTATAAATGTACAGCTAAATTTTCAAATTTCTTTAAAAATGTCTACAGTTAAGACAAAAAATTTAACGATGTGAAAAGCAGCGTCTTCTATGTAAAATAAATTTGCAGATTTTGGCACTTCTATCACATTCACTGGCTAGAACAATAGATAATGTCACCAAATTGGAAAATGTTTAAAAGTTTGGATGTTCTGACAAAATTTTTCTAAAAAAGATCAGTTCACATGTCATCTTACAATGGACACTCTATCAATACATGTTCCTCAGTTTCAACAATATTTATACAAGTTTCACATGTTCGTTGATGTAAGGATAGGTCACTCACTAACAATAATGATATAGTTTTAGATTACTTGTTTTTTTTTAGATATAAGCCAATCAAAGCACATACTAATGAATTTATATAATGATATTCTCAAACTAATCAGCAAATTTTCCCAAAATTTCATTGCATGCCGCCTAAAAACATAAAGAAAGTCCCACAGAAAAAGTGTATACAATAATGTTCCGAGTATAATAAAAAAAAAAGGGGGGGAGTACCCTGCCCGGATAATAATATTACTGATATGTAAAGGAAAGTTTTAACCACGGATTTGAACTTGACAATTTTATCTGAAATTCACACCAGGTGACCAAATACATTGTGAAATTTGTGAACTTCACGCGGATATCTTTAGAAAACATGCTCAACGAAATAACAGGGTCGCAGGCATCTGTTTTCAAGTATAATTCTGAATTTTAACGATTCCAATTATCTTATTCATTCGATAAATTAAAAATTACAAATTCTGCAAATCCATGTACAATATAAATGTAAGAAGATGTGGTATGAGTGCCAATGAGACAGCTCTCCGTAAACTTTACATTAACAGTAAAATAATTAAAATAAGTTTCCTTTTTTAATAAAAATTTTACATAAATGTTCAATTGCAAAATTAAAATTTTTTTCACGATAGAATTTTGTTTCTTAAACTGTTAAAATATTTTAGTTCAATTTATTTCAATTTTAAGCGATTGCCGTTTTGTAATCTTTAAACTAGCATTACTATATACAAATATTTTCGTATATAGTCCACACTGGCACATATGCTGCCCTTGTCTTATTCTTTTAAGACTTTGGCAATTGGTTTATCTTGGAGAATATTTTTTTTTTCATTTGAAACTTTTGTGCATTGAAATTTACAATTTATAAAGTAAACTTGAAAAGAAAGAGGCTATTAAACCGTCAAAGAAAAAAAACCACAAACTACTGAGAATAACAGAAGTCATCACATTGGCATGTGTTAATTATTTATCCATGAATATATACCTGGTTTGACTTAGATTATTTCTGGTCAACTTCAGAAAATGATCGCAACTCGATTTTTGAATAAAAAAGGCCCTGATTCAAAAAAAATTGTAAAATATGAAATTTATATCGTTGGATAGATTTAGAACCAGAGAATAAATATACATGCGAATGAAGCTGTTTCTAATAAAGATTTTATGTCAATTCATTAAAGAAAACCCATGTGCACACATTTTTGGTTTCGTATTGTATGAAGTAATAGGTCGTGCACGCAGTTTCGTCGTGCACCCGGTGTTCTTTAATTGAAAAAGGCCTTAACTTCTGCAATCCTTATCAAAATACAAATTAGATCTGTAGAAAGCTTATAAATTGAATTTTCAAAATTGATGCCAATGAAAAAGAAATTTAATGATATTTACAGACAGCTAATCAAAATTTAAGATTTCCTTTAACAATCTAAAGTAAATTTATCGATATCGAGTGTGGTCAAATTTGACGCATGCGCAAAGCCGGTGCTGATAATAGTTGCGTATGATTGTGACTTGGGTGGATAGTTGTCTCATTGGCACTCATACCACATCTTCTTATTTATATAAACGCACGTCTGGCGT